CAGTAATGGAATTGGTTGGTTGTCAGAATTTTTTCACGGGGGCAATCCATTTTCCATTGCCTTCCCTTGCTCTCCTGTAGCTATGAGCCTGTCCTATATACATGTTATTGATGATGATGAGTGAAACCTGATCTGATAACTAATTAATATCAATATAAGATCTATTATAATATAATATTATACTGTCACTGTCTATACACAACATCTATCTATCAATCATACAACAATTACCATAAACTATCAAACTGTTTACATTGTCAGGTCAGGGATATAGATTGGAGTTTATTTACCAGATATAACTGCAGACGCAACGCGTTGCCCCCTTAGAAATATTGTTTGTACCCCAGTTGTTCCCCTTCATTTTAAAAAAAAAAACTAAATAATAATGCTTATACATTTTAGCCACAAAATATGTATCAGAATGGACCCAATCAATCCTATTTTTCAAAAATTGTCTTGGAGAAGAACGCTCCATGATAGGCTTCTGCCTTTCAACAGAGTTGCCACAATTTGAATCCTGACCTCAACAGTTGTCCCCCATACAGTCAGTCTGTTCCCTATTTGTCCCTTCAGCCTTGAGAGACTGGTGCTGCCACTGCATCACTGAAAAAGAACCTTACCCAACATCCTTAACTTGATATCTTCTATTCATAGACCAAAGTTACCTGAAGGTCATTTTATGATAATTTTATGGTAATACAGAATGTCAATTGCAAGTTTATCAAAATTGCCACCAAACACCAAAAAGCACTAAGCTGTCGATAACAAATGGTCCCTCCTGCCCTATCAATCCTACCTCCTTTTAAGGGGCAAGGTTACTCAATTATAATTTTATGATGATATGGTAGATAAGATAAGATAAGTTTATTGTTTCAAATACGCCCATTAAAGGCATCATACAACATTATATTAATAATGCACAGAGAAAAAAATATGTCCACTACAAGACTGTCAAATCTACATTCAAACACCATGCCTCTAACAAACTGTCCTTTCCTCCCCCCTCACCCCTCCAAAAAACAGTAAATCTTCTATTAAAAGATCAAGGTTACCAGATGATGATTTATGATAATTTTATGATAATACAGAATGTCAACTGTCATGTGTATAATATTTATCATCCATGTTGAATTAATTCAGATTATTCTACCAGATTGACCAGCTAATGGCTTGTAAACTGTCTTACAGTCAAACATAAACAAAAATACAGTCAAAATACTAAATATAAACAACAACCTGGTGTATATGAAACAGCTGAAATTGGATGGGGGGGAGGGGGCATTTATATGTATGAAAAAACAAAATAACACATTTTTCTCAGCTACCAAACTAAGAGTGCCAAATCAACGTAATGATCTAGATCCATCTGCTACGACCACCAACAACTACCTAGTCTGCCATATAAGATTCGGTCATAAGCAAATATAATACCTATAATACCTTTGTGCACCAAAATATTAGAATGTACTAAAGCAACCCTCTCAGATGGTCCATAAAGGCTTTCAATTATGACACCTCCAAAGAGTTGCCACATTCAACAGTGTTGTCCCCTACTGAGTCAGTCACTCTGCCCCTGTTTGTACCCCCAGTCTGGAGAGGCTGGTATCGCAGCTATTTTTGACCACTGAAATATATATTTGGGGTCCTGCGTCTTGTTTTTATCAGGGCCACTAAACCCCACTACTTTCTAATCAAAGTGAACTATTATCAACGTCAAAATAAACGTTTTGATATCTCCCTATTTATATGTATATCCCTATTGCTAGATGTATACTATACTGTAACCCTACACTGTATTTGGTATAAAAACCATCCAACCCCAACAGAGGTAATATCGTAGCCTTAAGGGCCAGAAACTGGAGAAGAGCAACAATATATTTGA